TAGTGCTCCTAATATAGGAGTTTAAGGGCCTAATTTGTTATTGTTATTATTTTATTTACTATTATTATATACATATATATATTTTTTTTTACTTTACTTCTCCTTTTTGCTTAGGAACTCTCATCTAATGCTTAGATGGTAGCTTACAGATTGTGCCTGCCGTGGCTGCCTTAATCAAGGCTTGGAATGCCATTGCATGCTTACTTCTCTTAGGGAGGTTGAGTGTGGACTTGGGAAAAAAATATGCATGCAAGCCAGGTAACCTAGATAAAAAGAAAAGGAAGTGGCAGTCAGCCACTTTCCTTGCAACTTGATCACCTTTTTTTTTTTTTTTAAAAACACAAATATAAAAAAAATAAAACTAAGAAAATGATTCATGGAATCTTGGGCATTCTTCAAGCTAACCAAGGCTGAATGTCGCCTTGCAAGGCCTTGGCGCTTCCTTCGGTTTCTTCGATACCTAGCATAAAACACCAGGGCAATGAGAATGCCAATGAGCGACGAGCTCAATAAGATACTACAACCCAAAAATACCCACCCGATAATAATACTCACAAATAATAAATATTGTGGAATAACAGAATAACAAGTAGCATTTAACAAACATAACCGGAACGCTATTGGTTGAAATATTAACAATAGACAATAAAAACATTGGCAAGCGAAAGCAGTATTTCATAATAAGGAAAAATGTCAACCTTTCTTTTTAAATTCCCATAGATTTAGTTTAACAGGTAAGTTTAAGTAACTCCCCGTGAAGCACTATTTCTACTCAACCGCTAAGTAATGACCACGGACAATTTTGACTCCCCCTTAGTCAAATATTCAAATGTTACTGTAACTACCAATGATGCCCACGCACCAGGGTTACGTACCCGAGTCGTGACATCACGGTTTGCCCCAAGGGAACGGTCTATGTTGTGACACCCACACCACCAACCTTATATCACCTGTACCGATAAGAGCCAAAATTCCTTCCTGTGCCATGTTAGGGTTCGCAATTCACTTGCGCAAGATTCTAAACCGGGCTCACCGCATCACTTTTAAATTTTAATGTATCTGTTTAATTCCGTGTCCCTTTATTTTGTCCAATTCACATTTTGATGCATGTACGAGTTTTAGTTTGAAAACTACAGTGACATAATGTTTATATAGCACAACATAAACGCGTATGACAACCAAAATAAATATGATAGAATGTCTTAGAAATTATCACAAAATTTCTTAGGAATTCACACACTTATTTTTTAGCACTGTATGGTCAGAAAAAAAATGAAACCCATACCAAACGATGTTCAACCATTACGATATTTTAACTGGTGCTAGTTCATTGAGTTAGGAAAATATTCCTAGAAGAATACCAGAGCAAAAAACGATTTTAAAATTGAGAAATAAATTTTGGAAGAAAACTGATTTTTCTGGGACAGTGAGTTACAGTACTTCCAGCACAGGTGATCTGTGTTGGAAAAATAAAAAGTGGCCTCAAACGGTGTCAAAAGGAGGTATGGTTAGAATGGCTTGTTAGATTATTGAGTTTAGAACATATTTTCAGAAGGATTTGAAGACTGAAAATCAACGGAAGATGGTCAAATAATTTTTCTAAGAAAACTGGACAGATTCTGTCGCATTTTAGTAAAACTACAATTTCTCCTTTTAGACTAATCCATTTTTTGTGAGATCGGTGGAAAATGAAAGATAACTCTTATATCTAACTATTCCAAGTGGTTGTGCATAAAAATACCATTTGTAGAGAAAATGGGACCTATTTGAAGCTACTACTTCTGCTGTGTTGCAAGCGACACTTAGGGAAAATATTTGTTTCGGTAAGAAAATGGTGTCTAATGATTTTATAAAAATTTTACACAGTGTATAACACCTATATATACACTTCCAGTATACACAGATTTTTAACATCAATTATTTTCAATTTATTAGAGCTCTCTTTTCATCCGATAAAGTCTGAAACAGTGGAGAAGAATCTAAGTTTAAAGTAAAAAGAAGTCATTCTCATCTCATTTTACTCTCTTGCAAGATTATTTCAACAATGGAGAATATTGAACACATAAAAACAGTAGCTAAGCCATATATCTATGTTTGCAAGAAGGAATATGAAATTATAACATAATGAAACCCTCATCGTATCAAAATTTTAAACATGCATGGTACTATTTTGCTATACATGACTTAACCATGCTTAGTCTTGCATATATAAATTTAGTTAGAGGTATCTACGGGAGGATAGAGGTGATGTATTCTTACCTCAAGAGCTTTTGCAAACACTTCTCAAAACTAAGTTTGAAATTGATATTCACCAAATACCCTCTCTTTTTCCTCTCTTTCTCTTCTCTTTTCTACTCTCTTTTTCTCCTCAGCTGCGTGAAAAGTAGAATGGCTGGGCTGAATGTGAGTTCCTTATGTAGGAGTTTGGGGCCCTTATTTATTTATTTATTTATTTTATTCTTCTTGGCTTGGGAATTATGATCTACAAGGATAGACTTGTAAGATGTTTCTAAGCATGCTTTGGCAGCAGCCCCTTGGAAAGAAAACAGCCGGATTCCTCTATCAAAAAATTTTGATTTTTTTTTTTGTATGTTTAAAATGAAAATCAATGTGTATATATATATACATGTCCTAGTTACTAGATGTTTTTCTCCCTACTATCCTCTAACTAATTTGATTATTATTTATTTAACTCATTTAGTTTTCCACAACTGTGTTTAGATACAAAAATTTAATCACAAAAGGATTAAAAAAAAATTATTTGAAGGAATTTAATGTCGGTGTTAATCATGATGCTATTAATATAATAATTTAATAATCACAATTTATTGACTTAATATTATTATTAATAAACTAATTATTTGTCCAAAAAATTTCAGGTTCTTACAAAACTAGTCCACAAATCATTTGGGTCTTTTCTAATTAAAAAATAAATAAAAAAATCTAAAGGTATAATAGTAAGCATTCGTTTGGCTAACTTAGTTGGGCTAAAAAAGTACAAAAGATAAAATAAGATAAATAAGCTAATAAGATAAAACATCACATCTAAACCATAATCATTTTAAGTTAAAAAAAAATTATAATCATTTCACTTTTTCTTTACAAAAGTCAAAAAAATAAAAAAAAACCAAACAAAACCAAACGAATTGGAAAATTGTTAAAAGCTAACTTTTTAGCTCTTTTTACCCTTTTTTTTTTTTTTTTTGTGAGAAAAGAAGTGGGTTAAAAAATGAGAAGTGACTTTTAACCCACTTTTCAAAATAGGTCTTAGTCCCAAACTAAAAAAATCTCAACTCAAAAAAGTCAACTAAAAAAGCCAATGTCAAGTAGCGACTAACGGTTCGTTTGGGAAGTGAATTGGCTTTGTAGTTTTTTTTGTTATTTTGGCCTGGGCTAAAAAGTCTGGTTTGGAAAGGACTTTTGGTTTTTTTAATTTTTTTGAATTTTTTGTGAGAGAAAAAATATGATGATTATGAGTTTGATGTGATGTTTTGTTTTATTGGACTAAAAAAGTTTTTTTGTTTTTTGTGGCTATTTTAGCCAAAAAATTTCTAAACCCAACTTCCCAAACATAGACTAATAAGGGTCCGTTTGGGAAGAGCCATTCCAGGCTTTTTTTGGCTATTTTAGTCACAAAAGACAAAATAGACTATTTTAGTCACAAAAAACAAAAATCACATCCAACCCATAATCATTACACTCTCCTCTCACAAAAAAAAGTCAAAAAATCAACCCACTTCCTAAACGAAGGCTAAATAAGTTATTATAATTAGAAGTGAGGTGTAGACAACTTCTCATAATCAATTTTTTTGAATTAAAATAAATTATTAGAATGAGAAATTGTTTCAAATAAATTTAATTAAACAATCCAAAATAATTTTTTTAAAACTAAAACTTATAAGTTGACTAAAAAAAAGTCGCACCAAACACCTCTATCACCTAGAATGTTTTTGCTTAACAATATAATTTTTTTTGTTGATAATATTGATGAATGCCCAAGATAGCCTTCGTGGTATTTTGAGGTATGCCATTGCCGGGATATTAACGAGGCCCATTAATAGTCACGACTTCGAATCAAATTATACTTAAGCTCCGTCCGGAAAGAAGGTTTCTATTTTTGGTTATTTTAGTCACAAAAAATAAAATAGACTATTTTAATCACAATAAACAAAACATAACATCTAATCCATAATCATTACACTATTTTCTCACAAAAAAAAGTTAAAAAGCTAAAAAGTCCTTCCCAAACCAAACTTTTTAACCCAAACTAAAATAATTAAAAAAACTAAAAAGTTAAAAAACCAACTCAGTTCCTAAATGGAGACTTATAAGTAGGAGTTTTCTATCAACACGTAAAATTAAGTTAAATGCTGATGAAAAACGTGTAGGAGGTGACCCAAGAGCAACTAGTTATGGAGATTGTTTTAAGATACTACTGTATACTTTATAATTGCACAAATATTAAACAGAGTTGCAAAGAATTTATGGAGGAGAGACAATTCTATTTGAAAAAAGATAGAAAAGTACGATTATCAAAATGGAATCTCTTGATACTGTTAAGACTTTTTTTTTATAACAAATTAAGAGAAGCACTTTATGAAAGAATATCTACCGATCAAAGAATATCTCTCATTTTGTTTTTTGTTATGTGTTCTTCTTTCTATTGTACATACAAAAAATTAAGGCAATAAGTAGTAGTTAGAGGGGACAGAATAAAGAGAAATAAATAAGAATTTATTTTTTGAACAAATAAAATAAAAAATTTAATAAATTTTGTAAACTATTCATAATATCAACGACCAAACAATTTTATAAACATAAATAGAAAACTATAAACAACCTTAAAAAAAAAAAAAAAAAAAAAAGGGTTTGTGAACGAGTCCTAAATTACCACATCAGAGATGCCATGGTGGGCTGTGCCGTACCTAATCCCAGCCGTGCAGCACAATAAATCGAACGGTCCAAAAACATCCCTCACATTTGAAAGTCACAACGTCACACCCAGCAAAGCCCAGAACTCCAAATCGAACATAGCAACCAGAGCCAGGGAGAGAGAGAGAGAGTCGTTGCACTGTTTGGTTGATAAGAAAAGAATCGAAAAAGAGAGAAAAAGAGGCCATAGTGATGACTCAGAAGCTGAGATGAGACTTTATGCATTCAATTCACAATCTTGTCAATGAAATATGAAATGGATGGACTGAAAATCACCACCATCCGCTTTGACTCCTTCGACCCTCGACCATGATCAGTCCCCTCAAACCCCTTCTCGGATCTCAGCCGCAGATCCACCACCACCTCCTCTCTCTCTCCTCCTCCTCCTACTCTCTCTCTCATGGACTCCTCCACCTCTCGCCCCGCCGTCGTCATCGACAATGGAACCGGGTATATTTACATACACACCAACTGTTCGACAAAAGTCCCCAATGAACTTTTTCCCTAATTTTTTTTTGTGATTGCAGGTATACTAAAATGGGATTTGCTGGCAATGTAGAGCCGTGTTTTATAGTCCCCACAGTCGTCGCCGTCAACGATTCGTTCATAAACCAATCTCGAAGCTCTGCAAAGGGAAGCAATTGGCTAGCCCAGCATAGCGCTGGTGTTATGGCCGATCTCGATTTCTTCATAGGGGAAGAGGGTTTGTCTAGATCTCGATCGAATAATACTTATACCCCTACGAATCCAATTAGGAATGGTCAGGTTGATAATTGGGATGCCATGGAACGGTTTTGGCAGCAATGTATATTCAATTACTTGCGTTGTGATCCCGAAGATCATTATTTTCTCTTGACTGAGAGTCCATTGACTGCCCCGGAGAGTCGCGAGTATACTGGAGAAATTATGTTTGAGACTTTCAATGTTCCTGGGCTTTATATCGCTGTGCAGCCCGTGCTCGCACTTGCAGCTGGGTACACAACATCTAAGGTTGGCATTGATTGAATTCTATAGAATTATTATGTTGTAATGTTGTTGACTTCTTGAATCTTTTATCTTTTAGATGATTAACGAAATGGATTTAAGATTGGCAATTTGCCTGCAACCCACTTGTGAATAATAGCAGACCTTTAGAGGGCATATTCAGTGTTTGAAAAGATCCAAAATGTTGCTTGGTTAGAGGCTTGTTTGGTTGTGTTTTTTTAAAAATACTTTTTAGAAAATTCTACTTTCTTGTTTTTTGTATTTTTTTATTTTTATTGAATTTTTTAATATGTTAAACAATTTTTTTTTTTACTTTTTAGACATATCTAACATAAATATACCTAAAAAGTAAAAAATTTGTGAAAAAACTTTTTAAAAATTCACTAAATACCAAAAATACAAAAAAAAAAAAAAGAATTTAGTACATTTTTTGTATTTTTATGTATTTATTAATTTTTTAAAATATTTTTTTACATTTTTTTTACTTTTTAGATACATCTAAGTAAGGTGCATCAAAAAAGTAAAAAAACTATTTAAATTTTTTAAAATATTAACTAAAAACAAAAAAATATGAAAATCAAAAAATTCAATTTTTAAAAAACTTAATCTAAAAAATTCAAACCAAACACATTGAATCAATATTGACTTAGAAATGATACATATGTGACTTCTTATAGGAAGGTGCATTACTTGAATCATAAATTAATAGACTTCAGAAGTATAATTTTGGTAGGATGTCAGAAAAGATCTTTTGATGGGATGTTCTTAGGGCCATACAATGCTATATTTTTGTTTTACTGCTTGATTAAAACTTTTGCGGGCTAATATTTACATTAGAGATTTTGTTTAAGAAAGTGCGTGCCATAATTTTTCTATGAGTTAGAGGATTTTGGGTGTTTATGTTATAATAGTGTTTGACAAGTTGACTGAGACTATAAAATGTGCCAAGGACCAAAATATCAACTCTAAACTTGGTAAATTTGAACATGGTAATTGGCATAATTCTGTGTCTTGTATTTATATCGAGAACATTGAACCCATAATGATTTGAAGACAGACCAAGTGTAAAATGGTATATAAAATTTCTCTGAGTGTTAACAGATAGTCTTTTAGGAAACAAAAATAGTAGTTTGTGTGGTCAACTCTTGCTGGGTTTTAAGTTGAGTTGATTCTATATGGTACGAAGTTACTAATAGCCATAAAGGACACTTCGAAATTTTGAGGAGGGAAAATTGGAATTATGAGTTTCCTATTGGAAGTCATATCAATTGAACCTCTGACATACATCTAGCTCATCCCTGCTTGATGCCTTTACCTATGTCCCAAACTACTATAGTTTAGTGACATGCATTATGCAACTCATGACTCTAACCAGTTGGTAATCCACAACATTCTTAAACAATTATATAAATAACTATTAAGCAGTTAGTGTTGGTTTCTCTAGTTGTAGTAGCATTTTATGATAAAAACTACGTAGTTGTGAATATTGTCGTATTGTATGCTTGAGGGCATTGTTGTTGGCCCTATTTGTTTTCCGAAATAGAGATTGGGATTGGACTAATAGTGAGGTGGAGGTGGGGGTGGGGCTTACAAATATCATGTTTGTTTTGAAAAATTACCACGGGATTAGTAGGAACTATGAAACCCTCTAAGGAGGGGATTAGCAATCCCATGGGGGAGGGAGGTGGTATTGTAATCTAATCCCATGGGATTGAAGATAAAAAGACTATTTTGCCCCTCACTTTGCAAAAATAATAAAGTTGCCTTTTATGCAACGAGAGAATTTTTATATAATTTCATAGATTTAATCCCAACCAACTAATATCACTTTTCTTGTGCAAACAAACACAATTTATTTTACATCTCCAACCTAATAGCACCACACTATTAATCCCCCCACTCAATCCCACCGTACTAATAATCCCCTCACTCAAACAAGCGGGGCCTATGTGTGTAATATATTGCTTTAACGAGGAGCACAAGGTAGAATTCTTTTGACAATTTGTAAATTCTCTGAAATTGGAGATGCTGAGGAGAACAACTTTAGGGTGGATAGGGGAGTTACTGTATGGTGTTTTTGCCCTTGTGCACATGTTTACTGTTCTCTCCGACCTTCTTCTATATCTTGATCTTTACTAATCATTTAAAAAATGACTTTATATTGTGTTTGTCGGTAAATGGAAAAATGAGATGACGAAATGTAGCAGGGATGGAGAAGGTACTCATAACTAAAAGAATCATATATTTCCCTCAGCTGTCTAGTCAGTAGGAAGGAAATGAATAAGAGTCATTTACTATTCTTAATATTAGAAGGTTGTTGTTTGAGGGGAAAATATGTGAAAACAAAAAGCTCTCTTTGTCTACTTTGGGGTAGATAGAAACCGTTGTCCTAGAAGGGTTTGCTTTCCTTCCCATTTTCTTTCCCTTAATCTTCCCTCCTACCAAATGGAGAGTTGGGATCATATTTGTGTTCACCTTACTCTTTCCACACCTTGTGTATCAGATTTCTTTTTATTCATTACAGTTCTTTATGCTACCTTCCATTTTAGTAAATAAATTCTAATATGAGATGCGCATATCGATGTCTCCACAGTCATAACCTGCAATTTTCTTTAGTGTGAGATGACAGGGGTTGTAGTGGATATTGGAGATGGAGCTACTCATGTTGTCCCTGTTGCGGATGGCTATGTTATTGGGAGCAGCATTAAATCAATTCCTATTTCTGGGAAAGATGTTACTCTCTTTATCCAGCAGCTTATGCAGGTATGTTGCCCTCAACTTCTACTCATATTTATTAAGTTCATTAAACTAGGATTGTGGAAACAGCTATGATGCAGAATAGTATGGAGTGTGGAATATAGTACTGAAATGATGACCATTTATCAAAAGATAATATACTTAGTTTTTTCTGAGAGGCAGTTGTGCTTTATTTTCCTTCCACTTCACCCATGGTATATGCTCTTTCTGAATTGTTACGTGCACTGTACCCTAAATGTTGTCTTTTTTTTGCAGTGCTTTTTGTTAGTCTTTCTCCTTTTGTATTTGTGAAACATTCTCTTAATGCGTCTTCTAGTGGAAATTTTCTTATAAAAAGTACTCTGTACCCTTTCTCATGCTCCTGCAAGTATGGAGAATGTGTCATTCTGCTTCATTTGTTTAGGAATATCTATATAGATATCTTTTGAGTATAAGACTGCTTATGTTGTAACCGTGTTACCTTGCTGTGTAATAGGTGCTATCACCTGACTTTCACACAGCCAGTCTGTGAACTTCTATCTCTCCCTAATGCCCATAAAGACCAGACTAGTGAAGAAATGAGTTGAGAGGCTATATATTTTTTAGAACATATTTGAACATATTTTTAAGTGCGTCAAGGGTGAGGACTCTAAGGTGTTGATGAAGGATGAAGAAATTAAGGAGAGGTGGAAGAACTATTTTAAGAAGTTGTTAAATGAAGAACATGAAGGTAGGTCAAAAGGGACTTTGAAGTGGTGTTTGCACTTAAGAAGATGAAATTGAATAAGGCTTTAGGACCCGATGATATACCTATTGAAGTGTAGAAATGTTTGGGTAAGAAGGGGGTTGTTTGGTTGACTATGTTATTTAGTAAGATTTTGTTGACTAAGAAAATGTCAGAGGAGTGGAGGAAGAGTATTTTAGTGCCAATATATAAGAATAAAGGAGATGTCTAGAATTATAACAACTATAGAGGAATCAAGTTAATGTGTCACACAATGAAAGTGTGAGAGAGTGATAGAACGTCGATTACGAGATATGACAGATGTGTTAAAGAATCAATTTTGGTTTATGCCTGGTAGGTCAACAATGAAAGCTATCTACCTTTTGAGGAGAGGAATAGAAAAGTATAGAGAAAAGAAAAGGGATATTTGTATGGTTTTTATCGATCTTGAGAAAGCATATGATAGAGTGCTTCGGAATATCATCTGGTGGGTGTTAGAGAAGAAATGGGTGATAAAAGGTTACATTGATGTGATTAGGAATATGTATGAACGTGTGGTAACCACTATTAGATCGCTTACTAGAGAGACAAGTGAATTTCGAATTACTATAGGGTTACACCAAGGATCAACCTTAAGCTGTGTTACATGGACTCGGCATTTTGGGGTGAAGTACCCGTGTTGACACGACACAACACGAGTGTGGGTAAGGGATTTGTGTCGGATTCGCCTCTTCTCTCTCGGATACGGCTCTTTGGCCCTGTTTGGTAGAGCTGTGGAAAAGTGCTTATAGCTTATGCCTAAACAGCTTATAGCTTATAACTATGAATATAAGCTGATTTCTGACTTATAAATTAAGCATCTCCTGCCCCACTCAAAGAATAAGCTGATTTCTGACTTCCAAAAAGCTATAAGCTAAAAGCTAAACCAAACACATCAAAATAGCTTAAATTAAGCTGAAAGTTGAAATAGGCAGCTTTTAAGCTGCACCAAACAGGCACTTTACAGACAGCAAAAGAAATGAAAGAGGAGAGAGGAAGAGAGAACCTGGTTGCCTTTCGAAACGGGGAAGATATCGGTCGCTGACTTTGATTCCTTTGATTGCAGCTTCGATTGCTTCGACTGCTACGACTTTTGCTCGATGCTTGATCAATCTCCTTCTCTGTTTTCTCTCGTTTCTGGATCTCTCTTCCTTTCCTCTCCTTTCTCGATCTCGATCTCCCTCTTCCTCTCCTCTCTCGATCTCCCTCTACTCTCTCTCTCTCTTCTTCTATCTGATTGACTTCTCTCTTTTTCTTTCTTCTCTTCTGTCCATTCTATTGTCTCACCTATTTAATTACATTTGTATTAGTATATAATATAAATTACATTAATATAATAATATATAATATTATTCATCCAAAAAAAATTATATAATATAATATAATGTATCATAAATAATATAATTTTTATGTTTAAAATAAAAATAACTTATTTTATCATATATAATATAATTTATTTTATATTTAAAATATTTTTTATTTGTTATTTATATAATATAACTTATCTTCATATAATAAATATATTTTTATTAAAAAAATCTATTTTTATTAAATACATATCTCCGTATCCAAATTTGGATACATATCCACGTTTCCTCAAATTTTAATTTTGAAGTGTCCGACCCCTAGATACGCACCGGCACCGACACCGGCACCCGATACCCGTACCCGAGTCCGTATAACATAGACCTCAAGTTCTTATCTTTTCGCTTTAGTTATAGATGAGTTGACGCGCAATATTTAGGATAATGTGCCATGGTGTATGCTTTTTGCAGATGATATCGTGTTAGTGGATAATACTAGAGAAGGAGTTAAGTTAACACTAAGTTGGAGATTTGAAGAAAAGCACTTGAATTTAAAAGATTTAGGATAAGCAAAACTAAGGTGGATGAGATGAGGATGCTAAGGTGGATGTGTGGTAAGACTAGACAGGACAGGATTAGGAATAAGTGTATTCGGGAATGGGTAGGAGTAGCACGCACCCGATACCCGTACCCGAGTCCGTATAACATAGACCTCAAGTTCTTATCTGTTCGCTTTAGTTATAGATGAGTTGACGCGCAATATTCAGGATAATGTGCCATAGTGTATGCTTTTTGCAGATGATATCGTGTTAATGGATAATACTAGAGAAGGAGTTAAGTTAACACTAAGTTGGAGATTTGGAGAAAAGCACTTGAATTTAAAAGATTTAGGATAAGCAAAACTAAGGTGGATGAGATGAGGATGCTAAGGTGGATGTGTGGTAAGACTAGACAGGACAGGATTAGGAATAAGTGTATTCGGAAATGGGTAGGAGTAGCACCGATAGAAGATAAGTTGAGAGAGAATCGTTTGAGATGGTTTGGTCATATTCAACGGAGACCAACAGAGGCAGAAGTGAAGAGATGCGATGTTGTAACGGTAGATGGAAGTGTTAGGGGACGGGGTAGGCCTAGATTAACGTTGATTAGCGTTATAAATAGAGATATGAATCTACTTAATTTGACTAATGAAATGGCCTTTGATAGGGCCGCGTGGAGAAGAAGGATTCCTGTAGCCGACCCCATTTGATGGGATTTTAAGGCTTGGTTTAGTTTGGTTTGGTTTAGGATAAGCAAAACTAAGACAAAGTATATAGAATGTAATTTTAGTAACAGTTACAATGGAAGTAGAGAAGAAGTGAAAATTGAGAACGAAGAACTACCTAAGAGTGAACATTTTCATTATTTAGGATCGATTATCACAACGATTAGGGAAATTGGAGTGGATGTGGTCCGCAGAATTAAGGCAGGGTGGCTTAAGTAGACGAGTGCATCTAGAATATTGCGATAAACTAGTATCCATTAGACTAAAAGGGAAGTTCTATAGAACGACTATTAAACTAGCGATGTTGTATGGGACGAAATGTTGGGCAACTAAAAAACATGTAGATAAGATGAGTGTTGCTGAGATGGGTGTGTGGCAAGCTATGAAGTACGGACACGGACATGGACATGGACATGGACACGGACACGTGAACATGCAAATTTTCAAAAAATAGGGGACACGACATGCTAGGGGCACGTTTAATATATATAATTAATTTGGGCAACTAAAAAACATGTAGATAAGATGAGTGTTGCTGAGATGGGTGTGTGGCAAGCTATGAAGTACGGACACGGACATGGACATGGACACGGACACGTGAACATGCAAATTTTCAAAAAATAGGGGACACGACATGCTGGGGGCACGTTTAATATATATAATTAATTTTATTTATTATCTGTTATAAAATTATAAAAAAAATTATTCAAAAGTAATAAAAAATACAAAATAAAACTATTAAAATTATAACAGAGGCAATAAAAAATACAAAATAATACTATTAAAATTATTCAAAGGTAATAAAAAATACAAAATAAAATTACTAAAATTTTCTTTTGTTATTTTTTTTTTACTTATAAAAAAAAAATTATAACAGAGGCATAGAGAAAGAAAAGAAAATATAAAATAAAATTAGAAAAAAAAATAGAAGAGAGAGAGAGAGAGAGAGAGACTCCCACTGTCACTGACCATATAAAAGAAAAAAAAAATAGATCGAAGAAGATCGAAGACAGAGAGACAACGAGAGAGAGAGAACAATTGAGACAAAGACAACAACGGAGAAGAAGAAGAAGAACGAAGAAGAAGTGAATGTGTACCTTAGATAATAGCCGACGAGCGACGATGACGAACGACCAGGTCTCCTCTCTTTCTCTTCTGTTCTTCTGTTCTCTTCTCTTCTCTTCTCTTTCTTCTTTGTTCTAACTCAATTTAGGGCACACATTGTTTTGTTTTTGTTTTTTTACAAATTAACCTCACAAAAGTTCCATAAATTGTGAAATTGACCCCGAATGTGTCCGAACGGGTTCGGCTGCAAAAAAAAAAAATTAAATAAAAAAATAAATTGGGACACTCTCAGCTCCACCGCGTGTCCGTGTCCGTGTCCGTGTCCAACACTGGTAGAACGCCCTCAGAGAGGTGTCCGTGCTTCATAGGTGGCAAGACTAGAAAAGACAGAGTTAGGAATGAGTATATTCGAGAATGGGTAGGAGTAGTACTGATAGAAGATAAGTTAAGAGAGAATAAATTGAGATGGTTTGATCATATAGAAAGGAGACCTACAGAGGCAGTAGTGAAGAGATATGATACAGTAATAGTAGATGGCAGTGTTAGGAGAAGGGGTAGACCTTGATTAACGTGGACTAGTGTAGTAAATAGATATATGAATCTTCTTAATTTGACTAATGAAATAGCCTTGGATAGAGTCGAGTGGAGAAGAAGGATTCATGCAACCGACTCTATTTGATGGGACTTAAGGCTTAGTTTGGTTTGATTTGGTTATATTGATTGGAAAGCAGTCAAATATGAATCAAGGAAATAGATGGTAGTAGTTTAATCTCGTGGTTTTTGCATTTTTACTTTGTTTCATGTAGGAAAGAGGAGAGCATGTTCCGCCTGAAGATTCCTTTGAAGTAGCTCGAAAGGTGAAGGAAACATATTGCTACACTAGTTCCGATCTTGTCAAGGTGGGTTTTTACTACCTTCATGAGTTTGCACAATTCTAGGAAACACTTTGTATTTATTTATTAGGGCTGAACACGGATAAATTTATTGCATGTTTAAAAGTATCTTGTATTACTTTCAGCATTGCAAATTCCTATGAATCTGAAATATTTAATCCACCATTATTTTGATGTTAAATCTTTCTTATTCAATGGTTTTAGGAGTACAATAAGCATGACAAAGAACCGGCTAAGTACATTAAGCATTATAGAGGTATCAAACCGAAGACAGGGGCACCATACTCTTGTGATATTGGCTATGAACGATTTCTTGGCCCTGAGGTTTGTTTTCTCTTCTTTTCAAGTTATTGCTTCTTTTGTACACCATAAACAATACATCTTTGAAACTGATAAATATTTTATGCTTTGATTTGAAAGTCATGTTCATGCAACTAACTAGAAGCACTTTATGGTTTCAATCATCTTGATGTATTTTTTGAAGATGGTTTTTTCAAATTCTCTTGTTATTGGCTGCCTAGTTTAACTGAAAATTGAAAACACATTCCACATGATTGGCATAGTTTTACTTGTTTGTTTGCAATTTGCATGATCTTATCATACTTAAAGATACTTTACTTTAAGCCAGATACTTGAGTTTAGTCAGGTGACTCCCTCACCTTGAATTACTTCTGTGTAAGCAGCATACACTAGAATGCAGAAGGGTCTATTCTCAAACACACCACTCAGTTCATGCATGACCAAAACTATCATATTGACCATGTGCCTCAGTTTTTCAATGTGAAAGTATTGTTATGGTCATTATCTTTATGGGCTCTGATAGGAATCGTGCTTGTTTTACTAAACATGGTAAAAGACAAACCCTGATGTATGGAAATGATGTGTACTACGAGGCTATGATAAAAAAAACCAAAATTTGTAAGTTTAAAATGAGCAAATAAGTAACTGTGCATGTGAGGCCTAACTCGTAGAGTACGTTGATTTGCCTCACTGCATCTAGACATGAAGCAATCAATATCACATAAGCGTTTCTTCTATTGTAATCCAATCAGATTTGGTCTACAAAAAAAGAGTTTATTGCATTTACTTGGTTTTTTGAGTCTTATTTATGTATATTTTTTTAGAGTCTTATTTATGTATATTTTTTTAGAGTTATATGTGACATGTTATGTTACTGAGAAAAATAAATCTTGTGCAGTGGATGGGAGTAACTAACTTCCTTATTTTTAATATCTTGTAATGTATATAGTATATTGTGTTTGTGAATGGATCTCTATCGACTGTATGATACTGTCCTTGTTCTGATGATTTGTCTAAATTGTGTATGTAGGTTTTCTTTAGTCCTGAGATTTACAGCAGTGAGTTTACCACACCTCTGCCTGCTGTAATAGACAAGTGTATTCAGTCTGCACCGATCGACACAAGAAGGGCTTTGTATAAGGTGAAGTAGATTGCTTGAGGAAAACATATAATCTTTGTTCTTGGCAATTCGATCCTTATGAAACAGTATAAAGAGTACCTACATTTCTGCCACTGATAAGTGGTCTGTTTTGGTTTTCATGATTTATTTGTGGATATCAACTCCTGTTACACATGCATCTCTCATAATGTTTGTACATTTATACTCCGGATTTTGTAAGTTATAATACTCTGCTATAATATGCATTTAATATTTATGGTTAGATGGTTCTGAACTTGAGGTTATACTCACATTCTATTTGGAGTGTTAGAGCTGAATTCTTTCGTCTGAATTTAGACAGGTTTCTATTTTTAGATTTATATATGCATTTTCCATTTCAGACAGCTTATTCATTTTATTTCTTATCTCAGAATATAGTGTTGTCTGGAGGATCAACAATGTTCAAAGACTTCCACCGAAGGTTGCAACGGGATCTAAAGAAGATTGTAGATGCTCGCGTTCTTGCATCTGATGCTCGGCTTGGTGGAGAATTAAAAGTAAAATTTTGAATTTTTTTTTTAAATAAATAATTTGAATGTGTTGATATAACAAATATGCCTCTTGGTCAAAATTAATAATATGAAAGGGTTGATTGTTGGATTCTTTCTGCCACCAGGCACAACCAGTGGAGGTCAATGTTCTCAGCCATCCCATCCAGAGATATGCGGTCTGGTTTGGAGGTTCTGTCCTTGCATCAACTCACGAATTTTTTGCGGTATTTTTTAATCTTTTCAACTTGAATATATTTTGTCTCATCCTTATTTAGTTTTTGTTGTCCTGGACAGTTGGAATGTATAGGTCTCATAATCAATCTAAACATTTTAATTTTCACCATGGTGTTGTTCAAATAGGGAAGGATGCAATTGTACAATTGCTCCTTTGTGTTCAAATGTTCTAATTACCATTTACAGAATAGCAGTAATGTGTGCAATATTAGGTTTAAATATTTGACCAATAGACATTTTTCCTTTGTGTAAATACTTGAATTATGCTTGAAAGAGGTTTTTGAAATATAAAGAATATTCACAGTTGTTAGCAAATATGCCAAGAAAGAGGCCCATGGATTCTTTAGTTCTGCTCACATGCCTGTCCAATCTCTCTCTGCATCGACAGTGGAGATAAACGTCAGTGTTAAATTCTGGTGTGCCCTCTTTGTTCTTTGAATTCAAGAAGCCTTGTTAATTTGTAATTTACAGCTCATCGAGCTTTGCGATAAGAGAGCTCCTATTGACTTGGCAAAAAGGCTGAAGGTGCCTTAAGCGAGCCTTAATACCATAAATTAGTGGTGGTGATTTGGCACAATTGCAAGTGCTGTGACGTGAATTCTGCTACCATTGTTATTAGTGTTTGTTCTGAATTGTCATGCTCATAATTACTTTTATATTGGTTGATCTTGTCCATTGACAAAAATCCGGATTTTTGGATTAAACAATTTGTGTGCACAGGCTTGCCACACCAAAGCAGAGTATGAAGAGTATGGGGCAAGCATTTGCCGCACAAATCCTGTTTTCAAGGGGATGTATTGATGTGAAGACAGACCTATTTCAGAAGAATCGTGGCGCCCATTCTTAGATGGGAAGAGGGTTTGTCTAGATCCACACCTCCAACGTGCTTCCGAATTTCACTTCTTGCAGCGTGTCATTCATGTGTGATTACAAATTTATAGCTTGTGGGAGGCAGTGTACAATAGATATTCAATTTCAAATTGTAAGAAAAATGAGTTGTATTCATTCATTAGGGAGAAACCGGTCTTTGCATGCGATGGGATTAGATAATAGGTGGGAAGTCATTTTCAACGTTGAGCTTTAGTTGTGAATGCTGATATAAGATTTTTTCTTTCTTTCTTGTTGTCATAATTCCCTTGTAGAACATTCTCAGTTAGGTGGATTGATTCATTTGTATTTGATTGGGGAGGAATAGAGTTTTGCCATAATGATTAGAAGTTTGATTTATTTGTATTCATTCTAAACTTTCATTCATGCCTGTACATTATTAATTTTCACATGTTGATGGAACTATGCTCAAAATTCTTATCAAATAGTAGTCGTCAATCTCAATACCAACGACTTATAAATTGTGACTTTATAGTATGTTTTTAAAGAGCGGCTCCCTCTACTGGAATTCAAGTAATCCGTCCGTTACATCCATCCGCTTAAGGGATGAGATGTACAGAAATGATTGATTCCAAAAAGAGAGGGCTTGCGAGGTTCTTGGTATTACAAATTGAGGTACTATGGGATTGGACATTTGGCGATACACAGTTACTTTCCGGCGGGACATGGTGGTACGATTCAAGTGAATTAGACCCTTTCGGCATGCATATATCAAAGACTATTGTGAGGGGAACCTAAACCTTGGTCTATGTTCTAACGAAAAATTATTACTTTGTTTCATTTCTTATATGGAATATCCTTACAATTCTATTGATTATATACCTAAGACTTTATATTTTTTCTCCGATGTATTACACAAAGCAACCACTATTATCTTCTGGTCACATAACCTAATTAGAATTCTTGAAACACAGAATAATTCCTCGTGTTTTGATATACACCAAAAAGTAGATACTGAGAGTACCTAAACATTAGTGATTCTCCTTTTACAGTATTAGTTTACCTCTTTACATCTCCTATCTCATTACACTATTAAAAAAAATAATAATTCTCATTACACTCATTATACTACCAAAACTAACCCTAAAATAAAAATTCTTCAAAACCTTTTTAGTTTTGTCTATTTACACTAATAGCTTTTGGTAATATAATGTTAAAAAATTTGAATTACTCTAGTGTCATGTTACCAGACAATTTTTTTTTCCAGCCATTTGTTGCCGTTGGATTGGATGATTTTATTTTACTTTAACAAGAAATTAGTTAGAATCCATTTATGAAGTGCATGTTCGGTGATACATTGCTACACAAATTAGATTACTCCGGTGTCATGTTGTTGAACTGAAATAAATTTGTCCAACCATCTGTCGCTTTACGTGCGTTGTAAATTGTCTTCATTGTTATCGCATTAAAGGCATCCATTTGTTTCAATATAATCAATATCTTTTTTGGTCGTACCATACCCTTTGACATATTAACTAACAATTATTTTTCCTTCTCAAATAATCTACTCAACAAATGAATACCCTTCAAGATGTTCAGCAGCCGGATGATTGTATTTGTATTGCTGCAATGAATAGAAACATAATCCTTCCAAATAATATATATATATATATATATATAATGAAACTGGAAATACACGGTAATGAGTAATTGATCAAATTAAAAACATTCGGTCTTGAGTTACTAGAAATGTATATTTTATTTGGCAACAGGTTACCAAATACATATTTTTTGTTCGACAATGTGATTCTGAACTATTTTATTTTGTTTTGACACACCGAACAAAAGTTGAAGAACTCTCTCAAAAAACGAAACAAAAAACTACCATAAAAAATAAAACTCGCCATTTTACTTTTTCATGGTTCTTCACCACCGTTTCTCCATTCATTACTTTCTTCTATGATCAAAACACTATGATTCTCACTTTTTGAAAAGAGATATGTAACAGAGAAGAAAAACCGAGAAGGGAAGAAGAGCAGTAGGAATTGAAGAGTAATGGGTGTAAGGAGATAATAAAATATATTTAATTTTATTCTTTTGTCCTTAAAAGCAATTGTATACATGAGTGAAATTGAAAGGAAAAAAAAAATCATATAAGAGGTGTAATTAGGTAAACTAGTGGTGTAAGTAAATTACTCTTTCAACAAGCATATATCATTTTTCTTTCTTAAATTGCTCGTTTTAAAAATAATATAAAAAAATAATGCTACATATCTAAAAATAAACTTTAAAAAAAATATTAAGAATTCTAAAATTTGTAAGTCAGATTCAATTCAAATATGATCATAACATCAAATTTAAAATGCCAAATAAAAATGTGTTTGCCATATAAAGATCTCAAATATCAAGAGTTTTGACTTAAATGTTTAATTTAGCTTTGAGGCCCCGTTTGGCCTACAAGTTGGAGCTAAATTAATCAATAAAAAGATAAATAGGTTAATTTAGGAGTGCTGCTATTAATACCTCATAAATTATTTTGGATGATTCTATTTTTACCACTATTTAACCTCTTTACACCCTTCATCTCATTACACCACTAAAAAAAATGTAATTCTCATTACACCCCCAATATATTACTAAAACTAACCCTAAATTAACTATTTCATCTCTTTACACCACTAATTTTGGTAACACGGTGCTAAACAATTTACATTATTCTGGTGTTATGCTGCTGGAAAAAATAGATCTCTCTAGCATTTTGTTACTATACATTTACAGAGACACTTTCTTCTAAACAATGATTTTTTAATTTATGGTGGACTTGTTCAGTAATGCAACACTAATTAATTTAAATTACTCCAGTGCCATGTTACCGGAAAATATTTTTATTTCCCAGCATTATGTTGCCGTCCAATTAGATGATAACATGAAATTAATTTGGACCACTTGTGAAGTGCATGTTCAGTGATACATTGTTATACAAATAGGGTTACTCTAGTGTCATGTTGCCAAACTACAATAGAGTTGTCTAGGCCCCCGTCGCTGTACATTGAAAGATTTACTTTTTCCTTAAAGTATCCATAAAAAAATTCATAAATCAAACATGCATCCATAAAATTATATATAAAAAGTATCCATAAAATTATTCATAAAAACATCAAGTGTACGAATATCCATAAAGTATCCATAAAATCTATGATTATTTTGCATCCATCAATTAAACATGTTATCACAATTTGTCTTGTTAATTTGTAGGTAATTTTTCCCCCTTAATAGAAATAAACATCCACACTTTTTAGAACCTGTTAACCTCAATTATTCCCTCTTAATCTTCCTATTATCTCTATAGTAACCACTTTTTTTACAAGCAAGTGTAAGTCTTGGTTTTCTGTCATTGCCTCCCGCATTAGATGTCTTTATAACAATGACAAATCTAGTCTTCTTCCCAACATCAAAAGCTCATTTAATTAATGTTTCACGACTACGAAAAATCTAAAGATAATAAATATATTTATACGTCAAATTATTAACAAAACTCAATACAAATTAAAAATAAGAAAAAATCGTATTCATAAAAAAAACTTGACAAACTTTATCTGTAATGAATTCATGACTAGAGTCCACTAATATTGCAGTATTTGCGCTGTTGCAATGAGTACAAGTATAATCCTTCTAGGTAAAAAAAAAATAAAAAATATAAAAAAATGAAACTGAAAATACATGGTAATGGGAAGCCGAACAAATTAAAAAAATTCGGTTTGGCGTTACCAGAAATGTATCTGTAGCTCGGCTTTTTCACGCCCCCTTTCGGAAACTCGAAAAGAAGCCCTACAGTTCGAACTCCCGTGATTCTGAATCTAATCTCACAAGTGCAATGTGAAATTGACAAACACCAAAGAGTTCAAATCCGACAAATCATTTTGAAAAATCGATTTTGAATAAAAAATGCCAAAATTGGGCTGCTTTGCCAGATACAGAGTCGCCACCTAAATATTTTTTTATTTTATTTTGAGAAAATTTAGGAAACCCATGACTTGTACCAAAGGCCACGTGTCTGTCATCACCAAAATTGCCTCGGCTCGGGAACTTGGGTACGAGAGGGGAAGGTCATGAATTGAGCACCTTCGCTTGCCCGATTAAAGATTGGCCTTTACTAATCCTGATATGATTTTTATATACATTATGTGCTCTTATTCCGGTTATTAAGTTAGTATTACTATGTGATGCGCACAAGCAAGTATAGACTAGCTTGCTCAATTTGGAATGATTCGATTTCATGTTTGTTTTGCAAAAAATGGTTTGAATTTGCCACTTCAAGTGAGCTTAAAGTTTGCGAATTTGTCACCAAACATAGTGGGCTTAAAACTGATTTGCCACTTCAACAAAGTGGGTTTAAAACTTACATTCGTTGAATCGTTCCAATTCAAAAAATAAGCTTTCATCCACAGGCATTCAAACAGTTTAACAAGTAAGCATTTAGCCTCATGGTAAGCATGCTAGTCATGGCAATCACTCACACTCATGCAAGTATGCTAAAGCATTAAAAACTTACCTAGTACTCCAAGCTAAGAAAATATGAGTTAGAAAAAAAAATATGCATGATTCTTATCTGTGCAAAATGACTAATGCAACGCAGGCAAAAAATGCAACTAATAAGCTCGGCTACTAATATAGCATATGACTCAATTAAATAACATGCGGTTAAACACGTATTCAAAGAATTATTGAAATGAAAATGCAGTTTGAATGATGCGCCGAGCCTTGATGCATGCAAGACAAGATGAATGTATGCAAGCATAACGTATGCTAATTGAAATATGTCCCTAATCTGACCATCGTAAACGATTAAATAAAAGGGAGAAAGACGTGGGGTTGAAAGACATACACGTTATTACATTTTGCTCTCATGAAGGAGAGTTCGAATGAATAATAGCTATGCCAACTAGCAACTAATTAGGGCTAAGCTAATTAAGCTAATTATTACAAACCAAATGAATAACTAGCTAAACTAATTAGCTAATTAT